ACAGACAGACAGACAGACAGACAGACGGGGCGGTTGCCGCAGTCCTCCTTGGACTACAAGGATGGCCCTGGGGCATGCTCAGTCCAGTCCAGGGTCCCTTGAACTCGGCCGGGAGGTTCCCTGAGCAAGGCTGACATCAGTACAGCTCGGCCTGGTGGCTGCCCACAAGCCAGTGGCTGCCCATTAGCCAGTTTTCTGAATGCTGGCCTTGATCCCCCAGCTGTCCGGACCCCTTCCCTGGGGTGCCCTGGACCTCTCCCCACCCTGCCTGTGCCCATGCTGACTGGCTGGCGACTCTGACGAACCCTTAGCCGTTTTAAACAGATACAACTCCTCAAGCCCTGAGCAATTTCACAGATGGGAGCTCGGAACTGGCAGGAGGAGGGCAAGGCCAGGGCAGTCCCGAGGTAACTTCTTGCCTTCTGTAGGGTGGGGCGAGGCGGGGAGCGGGCTCGACAGTTGCCTGGTGCAGCAGGCACAGCCACCTTTGTCTGCAGAGGCTCCAGCTCTTTCCCGAGGCTGAACAGGCGTCAGCGGAGCTGGCACACTGAGATGGACCAGTGGTGACCATCTGGACCACCAGGACCAAGAGGGCCTGGTGACCTTTTGAAAACCAGCCAGTGGGAACCTTACGATGACCACGGTGACAGGGCTGGCACAGGCCTGGGTCCGCACGACGGGGCAGCAGCTGGAGGGCGGCTCCCGGGACTGGGTGCGTGTGAGTGTGTGGGTGCTGGGTTGCAGTTACCTTTGGTCTCTCTGGCTCCCGGGAGTAGGCCGTGTACAGTTCTCGGAAGACGCCCTTGTTCTTGGCCTGCAGGGTCTCCTCCTTGTAGATGTGGTCGATCTTAGACTGCCGGCACCCGAAGACCAGGACCATGGGGCAGGGGCTCATGCCTGGGCCAGTGGGGACCTCATGTCACAGAGGGCACTGATGCCCACTTGCATGATGCCCGGGGTGGGGGCTGTGGCCTGAGGGGGCAGGTGGACACCCACATGCATGCACATGTGCAGAGATCAACCCCCACATGTATCCACATGCACACACCACTCACCGCACACACACCACTCAACACACGCACACACATACACTGTGCAGAGGTCAACAGGGGGCAGGTGGGCACACACACACACGCACACACGTGCAGAGATCAACCCCCACATGTATCCACATGCACACACACCACTCACCACACACACTGTGCAGAGGTCAACCCCACACGCACAGTCACACGCACACACATGTGCAGAGGTCAACCCCACACGCACAGTCACACGCACACACATGTGCAGAGGTCGCCCCCCCCACAGGGAAGTAGCGACCATCTGTGCTGACTGCCCATCTCTCCAGGTGCTGTGCCTTCCTTGTACCCATTGGCTACTTGGCAACTCCCGCCTCCACCCCACCTCCCCTGATGAATGCTGGGAGCCTGGTTCTGAAGCAGCTCTGCGGCAGGGAGCGGCTTAGCCAGCCGTGCCTCAGTCTCCCCACCAGCGACAGCAGTGTCTCCCTCAGTGAGGCTATATGGAGGTAAAGCACTGTAATTCATGCCGCTCACCGAAGCCCACTGCCAACAGGTCAGTGCCGACTCATTTCAAGCCTGTAGGTCAGGGTACAACCCACTGTCCCTGTGGCTTTCCGAGACTTGACCACTTCACGGGAGTAGAAAGTCCCATCTTTCTCCCACGGGGTGGCTGGTGGTTTCAAACAGCGGACCCTGCAGTTAGCAGCCCAACACGGAACCACTACGCCACCAGGCTCCCCAGGGCAGCTCCAAGGGGCCGCGCTCAAAGGTCACTCATTTTTTTTTCTGCCCTGCTCATTTAGATGCCCTCCAGTGTCCAAGCAAGGTGTGGCACCGACTGGGTACTCAGCACAGCCTTGCTCGATGAAGGCTCTCTCCTTCCCCCAGAGCGGACAGGGGCGGGGCTCTTGAATAACACATCCCTGTGAGAAGGCACGGCCACCCACGCCTTCTGGTGCCATCCGAATTTTTAGGAAAGGTTTTCATTACCAGTCAAAGAAACGGCCTCTGGGGATGGAAATCCAGGACCCGAAGATGGGCTCTGGCTAAGATTTGTCTGGACGCAAGGTGAGTTCTACGTCCCCCACCTTCCTTCCCTCCCCACCCTCACCGGCCCAGATAGGAGCGACAACTCCGTTATCCCATGGCCTCCCCCGGTCCACGGCCGAACATCCAGAGGCCGCGGGGTGGCCACCTACCTTTGTGTTGGATGTCAAATTGCCGCTGCTGCCAGAAGCTTCGGAAAGGGGCGATGCCAGTGCCCGGGCCAACCAGGATGCAGGGCACTTGGGGGTTTCGGGGCAGGTGGAAGCTGGGTGCTCTGCACAGGAAGAGAGAGACAGGTTTGCAAGGTGAGGGCCTGTCCGTGACCACCGTGTTTCGGGGAGCCCAGAGGGCTGCCTGGGATAGACACAGACACGGTGGAGCTCGCAGTGTTTGCACCTCTTTTCAGGGTGCAAGCCCCACCGCTTTGGGGAACCCCAAGAACCAGAGCTCCTTGGAGCTTGGAGTTCTCTCACTCTGTCTCTGCTCCCAGGGGCCTCCCCTGCTGAGCCGAGCCACAAAGGTGTGTGTGGGGGGTGTAGGACTGACTTAACTTGGGGTTTCCTTACTCTGGCTTAGTCGACACGGGGGTCAGAGATGTCTCTGTTGTGGGGACCACCCTGTGTATTGTAGGGCACTGAGCAGCATGCCCAGTCTCTATGCACTAGAAGCCAGGAGTGCCCCCGCCCCCCCACAGCTGGGTCAACCAAATGTGTCTCTGAACCCAGTGAAACTGCCCACAGAACTGCCCCTGCCGGCTTCCCAGACTGTCCATCTTTACAGGAGCAGCTGGTGAGCTTAAACCAGTGGTTCTCCACCTTCCTCATGCCGTGACCCTTTCATACAGTTCCTCATGTGGTGG